AGCCGCGATCGCGGCTTCGCTTTCCTGGTGGTCAAAAGTCAAAAACTGTGACATCCGATAAGACCCAGAACTTATGTTTCCTCTTGATAATATCCTGCGTCCCCTTGCCCACTTTCAGCGCGATGAGAAAGATTTCTATTAAAGAGGAGCAATTCTCAGAGTTCAAAGTAATATGTTAGAGTAATTATTATCCTCCCCGAAAAGATGGGTAATAATTTGGTATGACGCTTAAAGGAACAAGTTAAAAACACTCCCTCCCAAAAAGGAAGTGACATTTAGGTAGAGTGTATCAGTGAATGACCTGAGATGGAGACACTTCAGGACCCCTTTCAAGAGCAATCTGAATAATGTTGGTTTTAGCTTTTTTTCGTATAATAGATTTTTGAAAAACTAAATAATTGAAATCCTTTAGGTAGAGTGTATCAGTGAATGACCTGAGATGGAGACACTTCAGGACCCCTTTCAAGAGTAATCTGAATAATGTTGGTTTTAGCTTTTTTTCGTATAATAGATTTTTGAAAAACTAAATAATTGAAATCTAGGTCTCTTAATTAACCCCATTAACAGAAACGTATTTGACATGCTTTTCCTTTAAAAATCCTAATTTTTAATGAATAAAAAATCATTTTTCATTTAGACTCTCAGTGGCGGGTTATTTCCTTTCTCTCCATTTACAGGTCTCTCATGACAGCTTTTAGAGCATCCAATAATCAGGTTTTCTCAAGGAATATCAGAGCTGTGAGGCTCATCGGGGTTTGGTAACAAGGGCCTCAGTTCTCCTTGGGCTTGAGGGCTCTATTGTTACACACCTGCCCAAGCTTCTCGTATATTCCTCAGTTTTGCTTTTCCTTTATGGAAGTCTTAGGAATTCTTAAGTCTTATAAGTTGTATGAAAAATTGCAGATTCCCACTCACATAATAAAAAGATGAAGTGGGCCTGTTGCAGACTTTCCAAATTATTGCTTCCTGCAGGCTTGTTTTTTTCTAAGACATGTAATGAAATATAGATTTCTGTTTCCTTGATTCATTCATTTAGAAGTCTTTTGAGCCTCTCCTTCTGAGAAGCACCAGCTGACCCCGGGTCAGGACTGACTTGCCTTCAGGCCACATTCTGCTTTACTGAAATATTCCTGTGAAGGAACACTGTCATGAGAAGTCCCACAAATGACAAAACCTCTGGGGCCAGTCAGTTCAGCACAGCAGCTGCCCTGAGAGTAGACGGAACTCTCAGAGCCTTGTGGGGTTTGGTTCTCTCTAGGGAACTAAGCAATGAGAAATTGTTCCAATGTAGGTGCAGGCGTTTGGCACAGGGGGTCCCGTTCCTAGGGAAGACATGACACCTCTCGACCTTGTTTGGCATTTGATGTGACCATAGTTTTGCTGGTATTTGTCCTGGAGAGAGTTTCAGTGTGATCACTACCTTGCTATTCCCTTCTTGTCCCCAGTCCCCATCATCCCAAGTTACTTGTACAGCATTAAGCATGAGAAAAATGCTACAGAAATCCAGACTGCCAGGCCGGTGCTCACAACCGCCACTGCAGGCAGCTTCCAGAGCATCTTCTCCTATTACGACAACTCTACCATGTTCACCGGGAACACCACCAGAGACCTTCAGGGAGGGCAGCTGCGTAAGGCCACCACACAGCATGTGGTGACCAACACGTCCACTACTTCTTCCGACTGTCCCAGTGAAGACAAAGACCTCCTGAATGAAAACGTGCAAGTTGGCCTATTGTTTGCTTCCAAAGCCACCGTCCAGCTCCTCACCAACCCTTTCATAGGACTGTTGACCAATAGGTAGGTTATATTATTTTGGTCAAAGGGTTTTATATGTATGTCATTCCAAGCTCATCTGCCTCTTGGAATTCTGCTTATTTTTCACTTAGAATCTGGTGAATCAGTGGTGGGTGAGCTGGGGATAACCCAGTCTCCTTCCCCTTATGTCCCTGTCCTTGGCTAATCACCATTTTCTATTTGTTCCACCTTTCCCTTCTCCCATCTGTTGCTCAAAAAGTAAGGAAATATCAAAGAAGACAGAATAAAGAGGACCTCCCCAGGTGGGAGAGCTTTGTTTCTGTCTAAATGCCAGGTTTCAGATGAGTACATTTGTCAGAATCGCCCTTGGGCAGCAAGAACCCCGCAGCCACCATAGCCGTGGTCAGGTTTTAGTGCTCCGTGGCTTTCTCTTGTCTTTCACCTCTGGTCATGCACTTCCTTGTAGAAAGCCTGGTGCTTTCTTTTACAGCTGGCACAGGCAAGGCTCTTGTAGATGCCCAGGTGGGGAATGTGGGGAAAGATCATGCTTCTGCTGCATGGATGAAGCTTGTAGCTGATGCGGAGGCCATGGACTATGTTCCTTCCCTTCTGCTGGCTGCTTTGCTGTGTCCACATGCACACAGGGGAGAGAATTGAGGCTATTGTCTGGATAATCCAAGCTGCCCAAACCGGCTCTATATTAATCTGGATGTTCTGTTTTTGGATCTGCTTTATTTGAAATAATTGTTCACTTCTCCATTGTTGGTGACCATGCAGCAAGTATTTGTTCTTCTGCAACTGAGATGGCCCAGTTCTGCCAGGTACGTGGGGGCTCAGAGCGCAGGACAAGGAGCTTGCAACCGAGGGGAGGAGACAGTCCCCAAAGGCACAGGAGCTGGCACAGTTGAGTGAGAGGGGGTGGCAGCCTTGTGTGCAGTGTGTAGCATCACAGGCAGAAACGCAAAACTGGTACAGAGGGGAGTGCCAGAGTACTGCCTGCAGCCCAGGCCCAGAAGGAGGAACGAAGACAAAGACTAGAGACAAAGAAAGACAATGGGTGGGGGAGGAGTGAACCAAGGAGACCAGGGCTGGGCCCGCCGTGAGAGGCCCCAGGGGCTAGCTAGGGCCGAGAGGAGTGGGGCAGTTGGGAGCCAGGAGAGATTCCCAAGCCGGATTGAAGAGTCAGTGAGCCCATCACTATTTTTAGCAGGTCAGCCCAGCATCCTGGGTAGGCTGGGAGCAGGGAGGTCTTTAAATTACCTCAGTTTTGGTGTGGGAAGGAGGGGCAGGACAGGCTACATAATTTGTGGGGCCCAGTGCAAAATGCCAATGTGGGTCCCTTGTGCAAATAGTGTGAAGCATTTCAAGAGCAGCAGCAGAGCGTTAAAACAAGCATGGGGCTCTTCTGAGAGCGGAGCCCGCTGGGGTGGGAGGTCGATGAGGTGAGGAGGCCTTGGGTGTTGGAGGGGCTCAGAGGGGGTATGGCAGATCTGGCATTCCCCCAGCACAGCTGTCCTGGGACACACGGGGCTTGCTGCTGGTGTACCCATAGTGAGCTGGACAGGAGCACATTTTCAACTTCTGCAGTTTCATTTTCTGGATTGAGTAGTGCCATTGAATCAATTTTAACAGTCCCAAGCCACGTCTATATCTCTAGTTTGTGCAGAGCAATATTATAAGGCAGCTACATAAAATGTGCTAAGCAAATTAACCCAGCGATGGCTTATTGTGAGCCCACCAAGAAGCACCATTATCAAGGTGACATTTGGCAGCTCCTCTATTCTCTAGAGGAAAACCAAACAGACCTCAGTAGTTGCAGGATTGTTTTCTTTCTTTTTTCAAGACTAAGAGTGCTTCTTAAAATGCATTTGGTATAATTACAGAAAATGGCTCAGGGTTTTGTATTCTGAGAAAGCAAACAGCTCAAATACTGTATGTGAAAATTGAGGACATTATGGTAATAATGCCCTGCCAGTCACTGGGGCGGGAATGTTACTAGCTGTACAGTGTACGACAGTACTTAGAAACTTGGCTGAAATGAGGTGAGTATTCCAATTTCCCAAATGCAAATAGCAAATGAAAAGCTTTTTAAAAATCTCATCCTTGTTTTTAATGCTTTGCTTAGGCCACAGGGAAAAAGCTTGTTTAAAACCAGTGAGAACTTTCCCATTAAATACGCCAATGCTCCAAGGTTGTGGCTACCGAAGGCTCATGTTTGGGGTGCCAAAAAAATTGTCTTCGCAGAGAAACCTAATTTTGGTTTATAACTTCTAAAATTTAGTCTATTCTTATGTTGAGTAATCCGCTTAGCAAAATTTTAATCTGCAACTGGTTCTCCAGCTACCCAGCAAATTTAAAAATGGTCTTCATCTTCTAGTGCTACCTGGTAGTGTGGAAATGCTACACTCTAGTATTGATGTAGGCAAAATAATGGTGTGAACTCTGTTGTCCCTTCAGCATGAGCATGATCCGTAATTTTTCTAATATTTTCCAAGCCTGGTGGATATGAATTTGGGGAATTGCAGCTCTTCTGGTCACCCCAAGACTCTGCTTCCCCCATAGTTCAGATGGAAGCAGTAGCTGGGAAGGGACAAATGTGCCTCTACAGTCTTCCCTTGTGAGCCATTGCAAATAGGCTTTTGATGTAATTTGTGCCAATCACATCCTCATTTACCAACAAGATGTATGACTCACGTATTCAGTGTTGTAAAGAAGTGTGTTTAAAACAGCATTTTAAAGTTGATTAATATGTTTCTGACTAAAGAGTACTTAAAAACATCACATATGACTCACGGTTTCAGTGTTGTAAGCAAGTGTTCTTAAATAGCATTTTAAAGTTGGTTATTATACTTCTGATTAAATAGTAGATAAAAACATGGAACATCAGAGTTGGCAGAGACTTTACCAAAAGCTTTTGGGCCAGTCCTGGTATTTTACAGGCACAGGAGTTGGCAGCTCAACAGGAGAAAGTATTTGCCCTGGTTAGCGGCAAGGCTGCAGCCAGGTGTCCAGACTGTCATGGTTTCGAGGCTCTCTTCTTGCCCCCTTTCTATTCTTTCTACCTGCTTACTACCATACAGTTTGTACTTTTAGCTACTAAAAATAAAGAATGCAGGGCAAAATCTGTCTTTCTTGTATCTACCTGGGCCCTACCTGGTCGTACCAGGCTGAACCGGTAAAAGCCCAAAGAGTGAGTTGTTGATTGCTATTTTTTAATTAATGGGCAGGGAGTTTATAAAAAATCAGCCTGATTTGGGGGGACATGGACCCTCCCCACCTGGCCCTGGAAAAATACACTCTTTTTACCAGCCCCTGCTGATGTGAGCTGATCCAGCTGTGTACATTTCCAAAGGCATGTGGGGGAAGCTGCCTGAAAGCAAGCTGGTCAGTCAGTCCTTTCTAAAGCCTCTTGTCTTAATCTAAGGGGGACCCACTCTGGAATGAGACACCCTACATCACTCAGGTCACAACCCAGACTTCTGTATTCATGGTCATGTTGGTGCCATGTGAGTGGCTTTTTGTGAGTAAGGATACAGGAAAGATAGGTTGCCTGTCTGCTGTTTTAAATACTGGATAAGAACTCATGCCAAACCCTGAAAATACAAAATAACAATTCTTGGGAAACTTTTAAGTGTTCATTTGGGTGGCAATACAAGTTTTTCCTGTTATTTACTGTTCAGGTACTATACTTTTACTGAACATGTGTGACCAGATAAGGATCAAAGGACGTTTGGTTTTGGCGTGCGTAGTGATCACATATTCAATAACACACTCTCTAAAGCCTGAGGATGCTTGGTCGACTTGAATTCCATCTTGGAGGCTCGTGTGATTTATTTTATAATTCCAGTTGAACTATTCATTGCATGATTACTATTGTGTATAAAAGGTGATAGCAGGAACTATACTAGTGACACCTGTCATTATTTGGTCTAATAAGTGAATTTTAGACATGTAAGTATGTAAAAGCAGTGTTCAAGGCAGATAATGTGAAAAGGCCTTTCCATTTCTCTTTTTCACACATCAGGTAAAGATGTGCCATCATGGTCTTCGCTTGCTTAGCCTAAGGTTTAAATGGTAGTTGCATCTTTAGAACCAAAAGATATTGCAAACCAACCAGCTGGCTTGGGAAAGAGTTAACTCCACTGCTAGGGGCGACTCTCTTGGCTTCCTCCTTAGCTTGTCATTGTTTCGGTGATCTGCTTTTTATCAAGCCAGTGTCAGTGGCTTCATTTATTTCCATAGTTACCTGGTGTATTCAAAAGCAGTTATTTTTCCTCGTAAATCTTAGCTAACATCTGAACGGCAGGGAGGAAGCCAAAGGGCATGAAATCTCTACGATCTACTGTGGTTATTTTTTTTTCTCTAGCTTCAGCCAGTTGGTCTGCAGTGGGCTTTGTAGGAATAAGCAGTGACCTTTTCAGCTTCTCTGTGGACAGGGAAACCAGCTGTTCTGAAGAGGGATCTCCTGTCCTCAACATTATTAGGGTGGTAGGGAGGGGAGGATGGTGTATTCTCCTCTGAAATCAGCAGAAACTGGCAGTGGAATGACAGCCTTTCTCGTGGGGGCAGAGGCTCCTTGAGCTGTGTGTCACAGACCAGGGCTTACACCTAGGAAAGTGAGAAATGCATGGCCCGTGCCATTCCCTGTACTGGCCAGCCTTTGTGGTTCCTTCCCGCCTTGCCGTTGGGTTATTCTATACATGCTTTGTTAAAATACCAAAGGAATTAAAACCCACAAAACAGCAATGTTTCTAAAGAAAACACAGCACCTGGACTAGTAAAAAGCACCCTCTGTAGGCTCACAGCCCTGTGGTGTTCACTGAAATGGTGCACCCTCCATCCTAGCTGCTCCTGTGACTGATGTCCCCACTAAACTGTATGCCAGCTGGGCCTGGCACACGTGAGACACACTCAAGGTATGCCTGTCACCCTGAATTTGGGTCAAGTTGCTTACTTTCCCTGAGCCTCAGTGTTGCTATCTGAAAAACAGGCATAAACCCAGCTGCCTCATGGAACTGCGGTGAGAATCCCAGGCCGCCCTGCATGCTAGTTCCCTACTTGTAGGCATGGGGAATACCCAGGTCTCCTGGTAAGAAGGGGCCTTGGTGGCTTCCAGCCCTCCCCAGTGTGTCCAGCTTACTGTGGCCACCAGTCAGACTACAGACTGGGCATAGTGGTGGTTTGGGAGCCACAGACAGGGGTTGTCACATTTTACCTGGTTTTGTCCTGAAGCCACCCCATGCTCCAGCCTGCAGTCTGTGAAGGGACCACAGATGTCTCATTTGGCTACAAGGTTGCCCCTGGGGCCAGAAGGGCTCCTTGTTAGAGCCATATAAACAGCCAAAATGAAGGACTAGTGAAAGAAGAGTTAAGCTCCTAATTCCAACAGCTTTGACACTATATACTGGCACTTCAGTTACTAGATATTCCAAACATATGTTGAAAGGGGTGAGAAGCCTATGTTTATTTCAGGGCAGCTGGGAACGGTATTGTCTTTTTTCCATTCTTTCCGGAGAAGTGCCATAGTTGCTGAAAATAAACTGCCTGCAAATTCTCTCTGAACTTTCTGGAGTTGACTTTACTCAGCATCCAGCAGTAAGACCCCCGTGCTGGGTTTCTTTTGTCTACATGAATAAGGAGCACAGAGCAGTCAGCTCAGGGCTGGCTGGGACGAGAAAAGCTGCCATTTGGTGGCCATCTGAAATGCTCTTCAGAATACCCGTGTCTTTCCTGGTTCACCCGATTCGTTTGGAGCTCCCCTAGTGAGTTACAAGCTCGTCTCAGTTCACAGGAGGGTTTGTAGGAGGGAGACTGAATGGCTGGGAATCTGTCATTTTGAGATGCTATTTGTGTTTTTAGTATTTGGTTTTTGGATACACATGAAACAGCTTTAAAAAAAATATGGCTATGATCAGGAGAACTTTTGGAAGGATTCCATTTAAAGACGCATACGCCCTTTGGCTACCTGGGGAGTTGGTAAAGTTTGCAAGGAAAAGCCTTGGTCTGCAGGGAATGGCCCAAGTGAAATTAGCCCGATGCCATTTGACAAGTCACTTTTTTGTGTTTCAGTTTCCTCACCTGTAAAATAGGCAGTGATTATCTGTCCTTACCATATCACTGAGCCGGTGGTATAAGTGCTTGGAGAGTTGAGTGTAACCTATAAATGGAGGTGTGGTGCTTATGATGTTTTATTATCACCTGGAATAGAAGAGCCCTTCCAGACTGTGCCTGGGGCTCAGGACATGTGGCCCTTCTACCTTCTTGGATTCATTTGGTTACTCTTCAGGTTCCTGAGGGTCCAGGGCTGGGTTGTTCTGGGTTGGAGTAAACCTTCAATAGGGCAGTAGCTCAGCCAGTATTGGCCCCTTCTGAGAGCAGGAGGGCCAGAAGCTGCCTGTACCTCCTGCCCCCCAGGCTGTTTGCTCAATACACCAGAAACAGAAAGGGAAAGGACGGAAGAGGATGAAGGAGGAAATGGAATTTCTGAAGCACGTTCTGTGCTCCAGGCACCCCGGTAGATAGTTTGACATCCACATTTCTTTCTATCCTCCAGTCCTGGGAGGTGGGTGGTGGTCTCTCAGTGGGGCTGAGAGGAGACCCCTGGGTTAAGTGACAGGGCTGGACGTCCAGCCAGACATGTGGTATAGGAAGGCCAGGGTCTTCCCACCACCCCTGCTGGTCCAGTGCCAGAGCCCTATGTGGGCAGTGGTCTCATGGAGCAGTTTGGATTTTGAATTTTTGCACAGAAAATGAGTCCTGTCTTTGTAGGCTGGCCTCATCGGGGTCGACAGGAAGGTGGGTTTTAAAATCATTCTTCCTAATGCCTCTTAGAGGTAGTGCGGTTGTCTCTGCTGCCAGTTGAATCACTTGAAGGCCTTTTACCCGAATCATTTTATTACAGGTGTCCCTTTGGGGAAGCTCTAGCAAGGACTGTAATTAAAGGAATGAAAAAATGACAGAAATAGGGGCTGTGTAGTTTGGATGTGTTCTGGGTTGCTTGCCAATATTGTGTTAACATTTATTCCAGAGAAATTTCTGTTCAGAGTGGCAGTCCATAAATGTATTCACGTTCCAAGACAGTCAAACACAAAAAGGTCATGTAGGAAGCACCAAGTATATGAACTTTTAGAAAAGTCTACCGAACACTTATCTGCCTAATCCCAAAGGATAACCAAGAGAGATTCAATACAAAGCCTTAAAAAAATACCCTGCAGTCACCGGATTTTCCTTGTGTTTGTGTTTTGCAGAATCGGCTATCCAATTCCCATGTTTGCGGGATTCTGCATCATGTTTATCTCAACAATTAGTAAGTGTCTGATGTTTGCCTTCTGAGTGTGGGTCTCAGGATGGGCTCTGACGCCCATGAGTCAGGAATTAAGAATAAATCTGGGAGGAGGGATTGTGTATTGGCAACAATTGCAGAAAGAAGTTGATAGATAAAGGTCTTCATGGAGAAAAAGCATGAGGTGGTTGATGTGGAAATGCTCCATCGGGTTAAGTAAGGACTTCAGAAATGTCCCTGTCTTCGGTGGTTTGAGTTGGGATGGCCCTGATGTGCGGTCCTGGCCTCCTTCTCTCGGCAGTGTTTGCCTTCTCCAGCAGCTACGCCTTCCTGCTGATCGCTAGGTCGCTGCAGGGCATTGGCTCCTCCTGCTCGTCTGTGGCTGGTAGGTGTGGCATGCCTGGGCAGGACGGGCAGGTGGGGGCTTTGGTCTGCTGGGGAAAGAGTTAGCTGGACTAATTCAGGGAGCCAGGGTGGTGGGAGTGGGAGTTCTCGGAGAAGGTACCTTCCTTCCTCTTGGATTCTGCTTGGTCTTATGTTGTAGTTCATCTCACAGGTTTGGGAAGGTCACAAGTCAGCTGGGGAGGGAAGGCAGTCACAGATTATTCTTTTCATGTTCTGCAGCGCTTGGCTACTGACCTTTTCTCTTCCTGCTCAGGGATGGGCATGCTTGCCAGTGTGTACACGGATGATGAAGAGAGAGGCAATGCCATGGGGATCGCCTTGGGAGGCCTGGCCATGGGGGTCTTAGGTGGGTAGGGGCCACGGTGTGGGCCAGCTGGTAGCAGGGGCCTGTCTGGCATTGGACAGTGGCAGTGCTCACCCAGTGACCGTAGCCACAGCAGGCTGAGTCCACATCGACAGACTCCCCAGCTGTTCCTTTTTTATTTCCTACTTTCATGGAGACTTTGAAAAATGGTGGGAAGACCTGAGCTGGGAGGACCTGGGCTTCTCCTGCCTGGAGACTTCCCTGGGCCCAGATATGAAACAGAGGATTGAACAGGGTGGTCTGCCCCATCCTTTCCTCTCGAACATTTTGTGAGTTAAGATTGGAGAGAACCTTCTGGTCTTCCGTGTGCGCCTCCCCCATCTGCTCTGGCTGACCTCCCAGACTAGGGGACAGGTAACATCCACCTTTGTCTTTTATATCCTGGCCTTCACTTTGGAGGCTGCAGTTCCTATCTGTGCTGGTTTACAAGGAATGAAGTCCTTGTTTACCCATTTTCCTGTGCTACAGAAGCAGTGCAGCCCTGTGACCTGGATCTTGTTTTTCTCTTATCTTTGCTTTTTGGGTGACCTTTTTAGGCTTTTGCCCATTTCTCAGGTGAAAAGCCACTTGGAGGAAGTTGCCAAGACAACTTAACACTCACTAAACTGTAGGGTGACCACCCCAAACCTTTTTTGGGACAAAGTAGAGAGAAACAGAGGAAACAAATGCATGATTGGAGTATGAGGGGGCATCAATTCCTGGGGGCTGGCACTGGCCTCTCTTTCTCTTCCTTGCAGTGGGCCCCCCCTTCGGGAGTGTGCTGTACGAGTTTGTGGGGAAGACGGCCCCGTTCCTGGTGCTGGCTGCCTTGGTGCTCTTGGATGGAGGTGAGTGAGTCCACTTGGGCTCCTTGGCTGTGACCTTGAAATCCCTGACAGCACATGCTCTGGACTGGACCTGCTTTCTGAAAGGGGATTGTCTTTCTTTTTTTCTCCCTTGTAGCTATTCAGCTCTTTGTGCTCCAGCCGTCCAGGGTGCAGCCGGAGGTAAGCAGCTGGGAATGAGGGCCCTGCAGTGGCCACAGTGACTCTTCTAACTCCTGTTTTCGCTTGACAGAGTCAGAAGGGGACGCCCCTAACCACCCTGCTGAAGGACCCGTACATCCTCATCGCTGCAGGTGGGGCTACCTGGGTTCTGCTCACTCATGGGTGTGCACGGTGACGGCTGTTTGCTGGGGTGGGGGGCCAGGACCACTGTTCATTTTGCTGCTGGAAATGTTGGGCCACAGAAAAACATTAAAGGCAAAGAGGTTATAAGCCACAGAGAATAGTTGTCTTCTGTCACTGATTTCCTACACTCAGCCATGGTCCTTTTTTGTTTTTCATTTGGGGCAAATCAAAATGGTGTAGGCAGAGCTCTGCACAGCTGTTGGGGCAATGGGGATGCCCTGCCACAGAGGTTTGTTTTGAGCCAAGTTTGCTCGCTGTGTTTGTGTCTAAGGCCATCATTGTTTGGCCTCGAAACTTCCGGAAGGAGTCTGTGGCCTCACTGCAGGGGTCTTAGGAGGGCAGTCTGATTCACCTTGGCATGTGTGAATAGAGATTGACAGTGGAGCCCCGGAGGGCCAAGAGGGCTCCTCTCTTCCTACAGAGAGCATCCTTGCAGAGCAGCAGGGAGGCCTGTGGAAAATGCTTTGGCTAAAGGTTGTGCCTTTGGGTTCTTGGCCTGGCTGGGCTAAAAGAAAGCCCTTGGGTTCTGTGGCTCTTGGGCAGGGTAATGGGCTGCATTCATCCTAGACACTGTTGCCCAAGACTAGCCCAGTGGCAGGAGGCTGCCTGCCCTGCCAGGCCTGGGGCTGCCTAATGAGGGACCAGCTTCGTGCTACCTGGGCTTGAGAACTGAGGTCATCAGTGTCCCTTGGAGTCAGGCTCAGAGATGTGCTGATGTTCTGATCTCTGGGGCAGCCCTGCAGAGTGGCATGAGACCCAGTTAGGGTTAGATTTGTCTAAGCAGGGCTCACAACATTAGTAGGGCTGGGGGGTGCCTGGGAAAACCTGGTGCATGCCCTGCCTAAGGGTATTTAAATTCAGCCTTTTTCAAAACCCCAGGCTAGTTTTGTTTAATTCTTATGCTGGATTTGGCCAGCACTTCCGTAACCCTGGCCTAGACCCTGTCCATCCTGACGAAGGGATATAAAGCTAATTCATGCAGTGGGACCTCTCTGCAAGATGCAGGAGGCATCCCAGAGCTGAGATTTCCCTTAGAGCCCTGGCTCTCTGAGGTGGGGACGAGAAGGATGTAGTGAGGGATGGGGCCCCAGAGATGTGACTCCCTGAACCTTGGGCACGTCTGGGCAGGGCTGTGCAACCTGGGCCCCGTCTGCCTCAGGCTTACTTGGAATCTCACTGTCTAGTCCCTACTCAGGGAAGGAAATACAAGGATCTACCCAACACTGTCAGTCTATGGACAGTTCCAGGCAACCTTGACTGGTTGTGGGGGGAGTCTAGTCATTTATATGTTCTGCTTTCAAATGTCACGTAGAATAAAAAAATTCTTCGTTATGTGCACACCTTCATCACAACTGCACAATGTTCTTTCAATTTGTTCTAGCAAATTAGAGTTTCCACAGGGCACAATGTAGGAAGTTCCCAGAACGGTGGAGGATAGATAGTGCTGCTGTGTGTCTTTTTCCAGATGGTTCTGTATTTACAAAGGGTTCTGGTTAATAGAGTGATAATGAATATTTGCATAGATACCCTATATATATAGTTGATTTTTAAAAAAATCTCTCAACAGCACACGTGTACTGAATGTGCTGTGATCTTTCCTGGATCTTCTGGCATCTCAGGGCATCATTAGAAATATCGGTGTTCATTGCACTATAAAACTCAGAGGCAAGAGCCTCCGGTTGCCCCCAGACTGTGTGGTCTGGAAGTTGCCTGGCTGCTGGGTGGCCCCAAGCAAGTTACTTCAGTAATAAATTGGAGCTCCCTTTCTTCATTCATAAATTTGGAGGTTAAACCAAATGATCTCTATGGCTCCCTCCAGTTCCAAACTATATGACTCTGGGATTCTGGTTGTTTAAAACAACAACGATATAATAATAACGATAATAGTACATAACTCTTGCTGTCCCCTTGGCTTGCTATCTATCTTTTTCTTATGAAAGTAGGAAAAGCTCTGGATATGTGAGCGGTGGGCACCTGGGGTCTAACTGTGTTTGGAAACAGTAGAGGAAGCAGAAGCACACTAACCCTTCTCCTCCCTTGAAGGCTCCATCTGCTTCGCAAACATGGGCATCGCCATGCTGGAGCCGGCCCTGCCCATCTGGATGATGGAGACCATGTGTTCCCGAAAGTGGCAGCTGGGTAAGGACTGGGGTGGGCTCTTCTGACGTGAGTACTTTTGTCCCCAGGGCAGGTGCTGTCAGTGCAGCCCTGCGGAGCTGCCAGTACCAGGATGATAAAGTGATTGCTGCTGTTTGACTCTTAATGGGGTCATTGCCAAGGGCAGCCTTCGGGTCTGTTTCGGCTCCGGGTTTTTAAAATCATCTCTGATGGATGCAGAATTAATATAGAGGCATCAGATCTGGGCAGAAATGAGAGAGCAAAAATACAATCAGCATCTCTCCACGTTTCTGAATTGGACTAATTATATACAGTATACGTGGACAACGATAAAATTTATGTGAAAGAGACTAACAAACTTAGTTGTTATGAGGATGAATTTTTAAAAGCATTTTTAATTTAGAAAAGTAATACATGTTTATTATAAAAAGAAAGCACACTGATGGAGGAAATAAAATTTTAAAATATCATTTTCATCTTTCCCTCTCCCTCATCCCAGTCCCTATGATATCCATTGTTAACAGTTCTGTGTGTCTTTTTCCAGATGGTTCTGTATTTAGCATTATACGTATGAAATACATAAAAATCCAACCCAAGTAGAATCTTGCCATGTACATCACTGTATGACCTTTTTTCTTCATGTTCTATTATGGCCATGTTTCCACATCATAATATGTACATTTACATTTCAAAATTAATTAAATTTTAATTTTTATCGAAGTTACACATATACATAATTTTTAAGTCAAATCATTAAAAGAATTGTTATGAAAAACAGCTCTTTGCCTCATGCTTCCCGATCCCCAAAGCCCTGCCTCATATTCCATCAACTTCAACTATTTTGTTTCTTCTGCTAATATCCTTATGTCTCTGAATAATATGGATACTCTCCTTTTTTTTGTCGTTTTGATTTTCCAATTTCTGATGTCGTCCACCAGCTTCCTAATATAGGAGATGGGGAGTGAATGCCATGACTGCACCACCTGAAAATTGCAAACCAACACCACACATTTTCTCACCTTCTGTACTCCCCAGATAATTGCATTACATTGGTATTCAGCATTGACGTTATTGTGACTGTGTAAATAGTGTTCAAAGCTGAGCTCTGTGTGGTACTGTAATTAATTTCCTTTCTTTTTGCAAACTTGTTTTTCCTGGAGTTAATCATTGCATTGTCTTTTCATTTTCTTAGTTTTCTATGAATTGTTGGGTAGAGATGAAAGTTCCTCCAAAGGCAGCCAAGAATATTGGCAAACCTGACCTTTCTATGTGTTTGCTCGTTTGTGGACATCTGTCCTAAATCTCCAGTCTAGGCCCTCTTCCTTCATCTGGGTGTGTTCCTGGCCTCTCTTCTGTTTCCTGAACCCTTCTCTCCTGTGTTCCTTTCTCTCCGTTTACTTCCTTGTTATGATGGGGCACGTCCCCCAGCAGCTTCCTGAAGGAGGGCGCACGGCAGGGGGAGTTCTCTGAGATCCTGCATATCTGCAAATGTCTTTACCCTCGCTTACACTTGGTGCTACAAGGCCGTGCTCTCACCAACTGAGCTAACCCTTAAACTGTCTATTGAGTTTTTAAAATTGGTGCTACCCTATCTCAACTTTGAAGAGCCCCCTTGTATTACCCTGTTTTATTTTTTTGTGAGATTGTTCTTGAAATAACCTCTCCCCACTTCAGTAGGAAGACTTTCATTCAGTCCCTATTTCAGCCTTTGTGTTGCCCTTGGTCTTCATGCCCATGGTCCCTGGGTCCCAAATCATTCTTGTTTAGTGTCTCTAGAGAAACTGTCTCCTGCTAGGGTGAGGACTGGGGGTTGGGGGGTCCAACTGCTCTTAAAACAGCCTTTCAACTCTCTTGCCTGTTGACGGTCTTAGTCCTAAGCCTTACCTTCACAGTACCTGAGCCTTCAGTTCCTGAACTTTCTGGGTTATGAGTTACAAAGAGTCTTTGCTCTTGTGGGCCTCTCCATGTGCAGGTGGAAGCTTCCAGTATTCTGTGCCCTGTCCGTAAGCGTTCTTCCTCTGCTTGCTTCTCCCCCTCTGCTTGCTGCTCCCTTTTATTCCTTCTGGCCCATTTGATCTGTCCTTAGGTGGGCATGCGGGTGGGATGTGTGTCTAGAATTTCCCTTTATGGAAATTTAAATACAGTTTGGGGGGTGGAAGTGGAGAAAAACCTATAGATTCAATCTGCCCTGTTTAACAGGAAGCCCATCATTCATTTTAAGGGTTGCATTTTGTTGTATTTTATGGTTATATCATACATTTTCAACCCATTCCTACTGTTGGGCATTAGTTCCATGTTTACCATTTTTACTACTGGGGTTAGTTCCATTTTTACCATTAGAAACATACTGCAGAGTGTGGTTTATATGCATTCCTGTTTGTGTTTGGAAATGTATCTGTAGGGCACACTCCTAAACATTATTTTAATATTTGGTAGCTATTGCACTAACATGGTTTTATCAGTCTTTCCCAATTGAATGTGTAAGACAGGTTGTCTCTTTATTTTTACAAATTCTTTATGAGTGAAATTGAGTATCTTTTTATATGTTTATTAGCCATGCATATTTTCTTCCCTGGGAATTTCTTATTAATATACTTTGCCCATTTTTCTGTGGAGTCGGTTGTCCTTTTCTTATTGATTTTAAGTGTCCTTTATATATTAAAAAAATAATCCTTTACCAAATGTTTTGTAAATATTGTCTCACTTTGTTGTATGAGTTTTGATTTTATGGATGGTATTTTTTGCCACTCAGAACATTTAAAATGTCATTAGTCAGACTGATCAGTCTTCCCTTTTATGTCACTGTCATTAAAAGTCTAACTCAGAAAGGACTTTTCCATGCCAAGATTGTTTTAAAAATCACCCATGTTTTCCTCTAATACATTTATGATTTGTTTTTTACATTGGAATCTTGCACTTACATGGAATTTACTCTGTTAGCAGGTGTGTGATAGGGATCGCGTGGTTTTGTTTTCTGTGTGGCCAGCCCGTTGTCCCAGGGCTGGTTCTCCAGCAGTCCACCTGATTTTTCCCATGTCCGTCATTCTCTAAATGACCTTGTGTTCTTGGGTTTATATCTGAATTCTCTCTTCTGTTCCATTGATCTGCTTGTCATTCCTGTGTCTGTCCCCTCCTATTTAATTACTGAAGCTTTAGGATGTTGTCTGATATCCGGGAGGCTACTCCCTCTCCCACATACTTTTTTCTTTAAGAATTTATTGATTATCTTTCCTAGAGATTTATTTTCTTTTTATGGTTCTTTCAGCTTGCATATGGTTATCTTCAGAAGGAGACTCCTGGTTCTGAGTGAAGCTGGCATTTTCAGTGCTCCCAACCTTTCTTCAGGTGACCTTACTTTCCCCCAGGCAGCCAGCCCTCTGCGGGAGTGTCTTCCCAGACACTGCCTCCTGCTTTAGACTTTTCCCTGTTCTGCCTGCCTCATGACAGTTCTCTAGGCCTGAGTACCACCAGTCTCTTTGGGTTCTGCTTTGAATCGCCATGTTCTTTAATCAAACAATCCTTAAAAAGGCCCAAATGGCTGCTGGTGGTGGTGGGGAGTGTAGATGGGGAGGTACTGCTGATGGGTGTGAGGTTTCTTTTTGAGGTGATGACAATATTCTGGAATCAGATAGTGGTGATGGTTTCACAACTTTGTGAATAAACTGAAAGCCACCAAACTGTACACCATAAAAGGGTGAATTTTACAGGGTGTGAATTATGTCATAAAAGAGAGCCAAAAACAAGCCCCAGATAATAAGAGTTCTTGAGGAAAGGAGGAAGAGTTCTTAGAGCTAAAGGAAGGATATTTCTTAGGCAGAAAATTTAGCTTTGAAATTCCTGGCAGTCAAGACAAAATAGGAAACCCAAAGACCTTCAAAGCTCCTAGAGCAAGCTCCGGCTTTGCAGAGGCGTGGACTTCTTCTAACACTGAGTTAGCATCTGGCAGTTTTGTGTATGAGAAGACATTCTCCCATCTGGGTATCGGTACCTGCTGCAAGTGTCAACTTGCAGAAGCCGTTTTCTAGCTCTTCTCTCTGCTCCTTGCGGTGATCTGGGTCTCCAGGCGTTTGCAGGAGGGGCCCTCTGTCGCTGCCTTTGCTTTGCATGTGTTTGGGCTGAGAAGCTTTTTTGATGTTTCTGATGTCTCCACTTAACTGACTTATTATCTTAATTGAATGAGTCCTGGCCCTGTGCAGGGCACTTAAGCTGTTTTGCTCTCATCCTCTCCAGACACAGCCTGAGGCTTTCTTTCTAAAGACTTTAAAGTCAGTCAGAAGCCCTGGGCCATCTGGGTCAGATAGCAGAGCACAGGCTGCTGGATGTTACCAGATCATCTGCAAGGCTTATTACCTGTGCCAGATGTTCACCTGACCAGCTCGCACATGTCTCCACCGCTGAGGTTCTGCCTTCCACTGGCCTGAGATAGGCTTGTCTGTCTTCACGAGAATCAAATTTCTATATCTGTTTCCTGTGTCAGCTTCAGTGTGGGGGGGAAACACTCCACCTTCTGTAGGTCTCTGAGTTTGGGGCCCATGGCTCCTGAGCCCCCCGGGTCCCTGAGCCTGAGTGAGAAGTGGCACAGTATGGAGCACCCAGCCCCAAGTGGCAGGCAGCCCTGCCCGGGGCCCTGCAGTCCAGCCTCGCGCTGCTCAGGAGCCTTCTGTGAGCTCGCCGCAGTCCTGTGTGAAGAGGGAGGCCATTCTGCCTTTCTGCTTCCCCCATCATCTCCAGAGAAAGACCATAATATTATAGCTCAGAGCAAAACAGTCTCACTAGCTGCATGAGTGACACATGATTGCTCTTGCTGAATACTGGCCATAATTTTTAGGGGACGTAAGGATGTCAGCCCATCCATATGTCAGCTGGCTCTTTCACAAACTGTCCCCCAAATTCCTCATCTGCCATTTGTGGGGGAAGCCATGGGTTTGGGTTGGTGGAGACAGAATCATTCCATGGCTTTCTCTCTTTACCTCAGGTTCAAATGACTTCTCCTGGATACCTTGAGGCTTAGGGACTTAGAGTTCAGGGTGAGGCCTACGAACCCCAAAAGGGAAGAATAGGCCCTAGGGAACAGGCCCCAGTCCAGGATGGAGCCAAATTCTTTCTTCTGGTTCTTCCAGCCAAGTTTCTTTAATGGGATGTAGTGATGCAGTGTGGGAGGGGGGAAGGGACACTGGCCTGCCAGCCAGGGGGCCCATTCTGCTCAGCCAGCTGTGACCTGGGGCATGTCCTGGGCCAGTCTGGATGGGTACCAGAAGACAAGATGGATTGCCAATATCCTGGGGTTCAGGGATGGGAGGACCTCAGCCTCCTGAGCCTCCCTTAGGATAGGGCAAACTGGGGCCATTGCCCCATTGTGGTTCCAGGCCAAGCCCTTGGAGATGTTCAGGGACAGGTCATCTGAAGCTTGGAAGAAGCCCAGGGACTCTTTCCCATGATCACTTCTGGGGCTCTGTGGGCTTCTTGATAGTTCAAGTTCTTCCTTGTTTGCTGGTCAAGGCTGTGGTCAAAGCCAGGTTTTACATAAAACACTAGGGGTGGGTGGATCTCCCGGATCTCCCTTAGGTGAACTTTCCAGCGTGAGCAGAGATAATGAGGTGGCCGCGGGCCTCCCTGTGAGGAGAGCAGCGGCCCGCAGAAGAACTCTTGTTGAGTTTGCAGGTTATACGAATTCAGGAAGGATAAAGTTGGCAATAGGTCGCAGATGCAAAAGATGGGCAGAAATGAAGGCCCGAAGGGAACATGGTGAAATTCCCTGGGTGAGGATGTAAAGTCCTGCCCTACAGTTTAAAAAAATTCTCCTCGAAGGCTGGGTGTGGGGGACCTGGTGGAAGTGCAGGTCTGTGCTCTACAAGCCCCGTGGGGACCCATGGTGAGTGGGGGCTCCAGAGATGCCAGCACAGGGTGGCTGTCCTGGAGGAGGGGAGTGTCTGGGGCCAGACTGTGGAGCGAGCCCTGCAGGATTCATTCAGTCCTTCTTTCTTTCCTCAGATGCTTATCAGTCTTCTGCTGGGAACCAAGAAAGCAGCTGGGGGCTGGATCATTTCTAGGCATCATGCTGCAAAGTACAGAAATAACCTGAACTTGTACAGAGGGGAGGCGGTAGGAGCTCTGTCACTGGGGAACAATCCAAAGCCTGGCAGTGTTTCACCTGGAAATCCTGGCTGTGGGTGGGACAGGTTCTCACTCTTCTTGTGCTGGGAGCTGGGCTAGGAAGGAGGTTGGAGCCATCTTGCATCGGCTCCCGAATGCAAACCAGGACCAGTGGGTGGATGTGACGGGGAGAGTTTAGGGCTTGGTGTTAGGAAGCCTGCCCTGTAGTTGGAGCCATCTGCCAAGGGGCTGTCTGGAAGAGCAGTGGACCCCCGGCTCCAGGTTTCTGAGCAAAGCTAGATGGCCATCTCTCGTGACCACTGGCCAAGGGCTCTCCACACCAGCTGGGCTGCTGCAGGAGACAGGAGGCTGTGGTTCTGTAAGTTGTGTGATGGGCTAGAGGCCCTGGCGAGGCAGAGGGTGCTGATGCCATATCAGAACAGGTGTCGGGAGCTTAGAGTTCAGAGAGCACCTGGCCCTGGCCCTGGCCCCAGCCCCGGGAAGTCAAGAAATGAGGACTCTGGCCTCCAGAGCACACTGCCTTCAAGGGACAGTGGCCTCCTTGGATACTTGCAGTTCTGTGAAGGGAATGTCCTCAAGTAGAGTCTTTCCTGTTGATGGTCAGCCGTGTTCTGGGCACCTCTCATTCATGTGCCACCATGGAGCTAGACCATGGGAGACAGATGAGCCCTTCCCCCTAGGAGCTTCCCGCAGGCCAGGGTGAAAAGTGGGTAAGATGGGGTTCGCACAGGGCAGCAGGGCATAGGGATCAGTTTGCTCAGGGCCTGTCGTGCAGTTTGCCACCTGATCCTCAGAACCACCCCGTGATGTGGGTACCATGGGAGCCATATGTTTCTTGGGCTCTGAGGGGTTAAAGTGACCCACTCAGGCCTCAGCTAGCAGGTTTTCAGCTGAAGTGAGCACCTTGTTTCATCCCTCCTAATCCAGTGCTTTTTGCCTGAGAACTATGAGATTGGAGTTTGCTGCCTTAGAGCATTTGCTGCCCTGCTCCCAGGGCACCAGTGTGAGCTCAGCACTCCACTGGTGGGTCAGGAAGATGGAGCTGCTGCGTGGCTCCCTCTGGAGCTGGGCTCCTTCCCTGCTTGGAGCATTGGCTTGGGAGCCGCATCCCATGCTTTGCTGCTGGAGTCAACACTCACCAGGAGGCGTAGGATTCTGGTCGGGTTCTCTGTGAGTTGTTTCCTTTGATCAGAGCTTAGCACGGGCTGACTGTGGGCAAGTTCAACCCTTAAGTAGGTTTCAGTTCGCTGGTATAGTGTTGGCTTGCATGGGGTTTATGTTTTTAAAAAAATTAATTGCTAAGACTTAAAAATCAGGAGATTTCATGTAAGAATCTGGAGTTCCAGCTTACCTAGAAAAAACAGATCTTCCAGTGCTGGAACTGCAACCCCTCTGGGCAGTGATTGGCTGGAGAGGTGGCAGCTGTTTTCTTAGATGGGGTCTGGGCCCTTTGGGTCACACGGACCTCTCCTCAGTCCATTTTCCACTTTGTGTCTGACACTGAGGCCAAATGTCAGTGGCTCTGTCCTGTGGGACCTGCGCTCTTATTTTTCTTGCAGCTTGCTTGCAGCATTCATTTATGCCCACTGGGACCCTGGAGACACTTATCCTGAGACAGGTCATGATTTCTCACTGTCCAGACTAACACAGTCTCTAGCGTGGTAGAAAATCCTACAACATACCTTTCAAAGCCAGGTTTAAATACAACATGCTTTGGGGAGCTTTGTCAGCTGCAGATTCTGGGTTCCCAGTGCATGGCACCTATGCTTTTGTCCTGTTCCTAACGTGACCATGTCACCATTCAAATGTCATCTGACTCTTTCCGAGACACTCACATCATGAGGAGCCATGCTGTCATCATCTCTGCTGCAGGGCAGTGTGGGCTGGGCACATGGCTGTCAGTAAATGTTTGCTGAATCAGATTACACTGAACAATTATTTGTCCTCCACCTATTGCTACGTGTGATGGAAATGATTCTCGGCAACATGACATGAGATTGCTCTTTGTTGTTATGTTCCAGAATCCCAAAGTCTAGGATGATTTGGTTTTGGATTTAGCTCTTGGAACCCATCATTTTAAAGTTCTGCCTGTGCTGAAAGGCTCAACCTTTCTCTGGGTTTGATGGCTTCCGTGAATGCTTTATCCTTAAAGGGAGCTGGTGAGCTGCCTGGATAAGAAAGGCCCCCTGCCATTTTGAAGGTAGCAGTTACTTGCTGTACACTCAGTACCTGCCATGTGTATCTAACTTATGCAGTCACATAATGGAGAACAAAGCAACTTCCACCATCTGCAGGCAAGGCTTAGAATAAAATCTGGCAGGGGCCAGCTCGTGGCTCACTTGGGAGAGTGTGGTGCTGATAACACCAAGGCCACTGGTTCGGATCCTATATAGGAATGGCTGGTTTGCTCACTGGGTGAGCGTGGTGCTAATAACACCAAGCCAAGGGTTAAGATCCCCTTACCGGTCATCTTTAAAAAAAAAAAAAATAAATAAAAAGAATAAAATCTGGCATATCCAATTCCAAGAAAAGGTACTAAAATTATTAAGAGTTTGGAAAGCAGTCTTTCATCAAGAGATTGTTCTATTGTCCCAATAATGAATGGGGACCAGATAGAGTTGATGTGGGCAAATTCCCTGATCTGACTCGGCTAGGCCTTTCTGTTGAGTGCAGAGGGCACGTTCAAGGCAACTGCTGCCACCACCAGCAGGAAATCACCCCAGTCTTATCAGAACCCAGGGGATGCATGCTCCCTTTCCTGGGACAGCAATATGCCTTGGACATGAAAATGTCAGTCACATATGACTTGGCCACAAAAAGTGAACGTAGACATGTTTTTTTTTGACATGGAAAGATGTTCATGAAGCTAATTGATAAAAGCAGGATGTAGAACAGTAGACACAGTATAATCCCATTTTTTGGTGGAAAACCAAAAATAAAGGCCTGTGCACACATTTTATATATACATGTAAATAAACTTACAGGGGAGAGTAACAGGTGATTTGTGAGTGATGAGGTTGGGATATTTTCGACTTTTTTCTTTTTGCTTGTCTCAGTGTACTCTAGTTCTTGCAATGACTGTTGTCTTACTTCTATCATACGAAATCCTAAAGGGCGGGAGGACACGTGCGCCGATCCCACCACTGCTCCCCAGCACATGTAAGGCTGCAGTTGTTAAACTCCTCCGGCTGGGAGCTGTCCATGTCGCTCCCCCTGTAAAGTCCACCCGGGCAGAGATGGAAGCGAGATGAAGCGGTTGATAGAGAACTGATTTTCATTTCTGGAGTGTCTCTGCAGCTTTGTGCGACGGATAAGCCACGTGGGGTCCAGACGGGATCCGTCAGCTGCCGGATATTAGCTGCTTGGGTGCAGGCCCTGGGGCTTCATTTCATCTGCTCTAGTCAACACTGTGGTGTCTACAGTTATTAGTTTTTCCAACATGTGACTGATATCAGTACTGATAAAGTGTCCTTTTCATAAATTTACAGGCATCGCTTTCTTGCCAGCTAGTATCTCTTATCTCATTGGAACCAATATTTTTGGGATACTTGCACACAAAATGGGGAGGTAAGATTAAATGAAACAACACTCGTTCTGTTATACTTATAATAATGTAGATCTTTTAAAAATTTTTAAGTGTTTTTGCATTAGCTGTTACAAGTAATTGTTTTGATTTTCTTTGAAAATTTGGGCTGGAAAAAATTGAATGATCATTTATTAATGGTGCTTTTTCTTTTGACAGGTGGCTCTGTTCTCTTCTAGGAATGATAATTGTTGGAATCAGCATTTTATGTGTGAGTAAAAGATGGGATTTGAAAAGTAGGAATGATCTGTGAATAAAACTTTCGCTTTGGGCAAGAATCACTAAGAAACATTTTATAGCACTTTGAATTTGTTAATATTTAGTTTTTTTTTTTTTTTTTTTACATCTTTCATTTTATTCCAATTCATTTAAAAATTTTTTGGACAAGACTCTCCAAAGGGTATATTTTCATTTTATGTCAGAAGTTATTTAAAATGCTTTATTACATACTGTACTTTTAACTTTTTTCCCCCTATCATGTTAAACTTTACAGTGTCTTAAACACTTTAGGGCAAGTAGACTGAAACAACAGCAAGATGTTTTTCTAGAATAAAACATCTTCTACCAGTGACCAATATCTACCCCAAATGAGGCCTTCTCATCTTTGTCAAAATTGAATGTGGACTGGGCTGATCTTTCATATATGGCAGTTGACAAGTTTTTCATGGTAGTCAAAACCCGTTTCAAGTCTTGACTTGTAAAGATTTGGTGGGTCCAGTTCTTCCCCGACCCCATCCTTCTTCCTCCTCTTATTTAAACTCCAGAAGGGAACAGGTATACCAGGACCAGAGAAAACATATTTTTAAGACTTTTCAAGATGACTTAGAGTTGGAGATCTTGTAATTTTAGCATAACATTTATTTCTTTTTACAGATTCCTTTTGCAAAAAACATTTATGGACTCATAGCTCCCAACTTTGGAGTTGGTTTTGCAATTGGTAAGCCACATGAACCTTGTGTTTAAGTTTAAAACCACTTTTCCCATTACTGGGAAAGATTTCCTCTTATTCCAGTAAACTATAGTTACTTAACCTAAATTTCTAGAAGCTTGAGAGGAAGCTGCGGGCAGCTTAGTTCAATTACAGCCTGTAGATCATCCACATAAAGGTAACCTGCTTCCACGTCCTAGTCATTTATTTCCTGAAAACCAGTATTTTTAAAAGCCTGACTTTGAGAGAAGCAAACTGATACTCTACTGCTGTGTGTGGGCAAACAAGGGAATCCCTTACTCAGAGCACAGTTGTTTAGGCTCATGTTTGTGAACAGACTTTCTCATATGAAGCTCGGGGACAAAGACTTTACATATATTTTTTTATAGGGTTTGGTACAGAAAAGCAGATGGTGTTGATGACCATCTGTGCTGCAGGAATTTTCATGGGCGAAGGAGATGGTTTTTTTAATGTTAGGAGCAATAACTAATACATAGGAAAATCTTGTTAATATTTTGGATGAATAGTATACTTTTGTTTCTCATTTATCATATACCGATTGATTATGACCAAAGTAATTGCTAAATCTATTACACCATAAAGGCAGGAATTTAGTCTTCAAGTGGTGCAGTAGAAAGAAGGAATAGAGCCTTTTCTGACCCCCTAGATGAGGTTAGGGTCCTTGCACATATATACGTCCTCTCACAGCAACTTCACATCAGTCACAATTGTAATTTAATTTTCAACTCTTTGCTTAATGTCCAACTCTTATGTCACTCTTGTTCACCCGTGTCCCCAGCCTGACCTTGTACGTATTAGGCAGTGAGCAAGTACTATTTGAATGAAAGAACTTTGCCTCATCTATCTGCTGCTGCTACATGTGGGTGTGAGGGAACTAACATTTGAGTACCTGCTGGGTGTGTTCACTGGCTCCTTGTAGTCAGTCATTAGCACCCCCTTTTATAGATGGGGAAACTGATGTTCAGAGAGGTTAGTGCTCACTCAGCCAGAGATTGGAACCCAGACCTCCGGACACCTGCGCTCTTTCTTTATGCTACCATCTCCTGGCCATTCAAGAGATCAGAGATTCTAATACTGGTCAGTCATAGTTGTTTATCTACGTTTTAAAAAAGTGAACTAAATGAGCCAACCTCTTTGGGTTTTAGTTTGCTGAGTAGGGCTAGATGATCTCTCAGACTCCTTCGAGTTCTGGTACCCTCTGATCCCCTAGCATTTTCCAGCTTGGTAACTCTCGTAGTCGTGTAAGGCCCAGGTGTGCATAGGGAAGAGGCTGGGTGAGACATGTAGGTGTGCGAAGGGGCAAGGGACAAGTGGATCAGAAAATGGTGAATCAGGAAAGCACAATAGGACGCAGGTTAGGGGTCCACACGGTCAGTAACCTGCAGCTCCACTGGAACTGAATACCCTCCCCCAAAAGATGGGCCATTCAGACAGTGGAGGATGAGATGAGGCAAAGCAGAGAACAGGCAAATGGTGGCCTGACAAGGACTCTGAGTACAGCACTGGGTTCCACTCCCAGGCTCGGTAACCTTCTACTGTCTGTCCTCAGAGAAAGGGTTGCGGTAGAGTCTGCCTCAAGACTTGCAGGTGGCGATGACAAAGGGGAAGAGCTGGCAGGGTAGTGAGTTGAGAACACAGTCCCTGACATTCTGCCCATTTTTGGTTTATATCAGTTTTCTGTACATTGTGTTCCTTGACTGTCACAGGAATGGTGGATTCGTCAATGATGCCCATCATGGGCTACCTCGTGGACTTGCGGCACGTGTCCGTCTATGGGAGTGTGTATGCCATCGCAGATGTGGCATTTTGTATGGGGTACGCTATAGGTAAGGACACTGGCTTTTCAAATCAACCTTTCATCTCAACGCAGGACAGATAATGCCTACTTAAAATTATTGCATTGTTCTGTCTACGAGACATTTGGAGAGAGTTTTACCTAATTCTCTGTTTCCTGAAAGGTCCTTCTGCTGGTGGTGCGATTGCAAAGGCAATTGGATTTCCATGGCTCATGACCATTATTGGGATAATTGATATTCTTTTTGCTCCTTTCTGCTTTTTTCTTCGGAGTCCACCTGCCAAGGAAGAAAAAATGGTAAGGAAAATTGAGGATGCAATGTAGCATTTCTTGATGATTTTAGCCTGGTCTTCTGGATAGTTTCCCCATGGTTTAATTCTAAAATATATTTCTGCTCCTTTTGGGCAGAAACCTCCAAACATAAATGATTGAGAGTTCCTTTTTAGTTTGTAGCACACAGGGATGTTACTTCTTTTATTTTTTACTACTTTTACAGTTATTTCTTTGAGGCATTATGTTTATAAACTTGAAGAATGAAATTATTTTTGTACATAGATTAGCATCAGTATAGCTCTTTTGTCAACCAGATATAAACCTGGGGTAGTTTAATGTGATTTTTCATGGTTCTTGAAAATCTGGGACATAATTTTTCTGCCCCCTTTTCTCACTCTCATGATTAGCCATTTGTAGTGCTGTTTGCTTTTCTCCTACCCCTTACAGTGTTCAGTAGTAGCTGGTGTCTTGGTCCTTACTGTGTGTAGGATCCTGGAGATGGTTTTAGGTGTTGAAAAACCATTGAATATGCACCTTGGGGCACATATGTGAGCACACAGAGCAATTTAATTCCTAACCTCATGACCAGAATTTTAGCAATAGGCAAAATATAAAGTGTCCCACTTTTGAACAAGTTCAAATTTGTTGATTCTAAATTTGAATTTTGAAATGCATGAGTCATTTTAACTTTTCTAAGGTGTTTGACTTACTCAGCAAGGAGAAGCTCAGTGTTTCTGATAATCCTTCATTCCTGGTTGTAATGTTACTGATTTTTTAAATATCAAATTCTAAAAGACAGTCATCCAGCTGAATGGAGAGTGCTTGCATTATGAATGAATGAGATGAGCAGGGAATGATGTTGTGTTTATGAGTAGATGTGAGGTTCATTTGTGATGTTCTCTTGGAAGTACATCGGTTCTTTTGGACAGATGAACTGAGTGGGTCTTCATGCTTTGGCATTTCCTCAACTGCCCTTTGATGGTTTTCCCCAAAGGTAGATGTAAAGACGGACCCTAAAGTTAGACTATGTGCAGCTTACGTTTGTCTTGGGCATTATTTACATTCATTAATTCATTTACCATATTTAAAAAATATATCAAGCACTGGGCACTGGCCTTGTGCCCTTTATTTGACATAGGGCTTAATTAGTTGATTTTGAGTTATTCATGACCCATTTGACTCATGGAGAAGGAGTGGAAGGTGCTGCGGAAATACTGGGATAGAAGTAACTTTCTCTTTTTTCTTTCCTCTTGCTTAGATGCCTCTCCAGCTCTAAACGGCTATACCACTTTCTCATACCTCTCTTAGGGGACTTACCTGTTTTCCAACCTGGTTGTGTAGCTTGTAGCTTGTCAGAAAATTCTTAGCACAACTGAAAACTGTCATTTTCATGCCACCATATCAATTCGATTAAAGCTGAATGAAAATTACTCCCGACCCTTTTGACAAATTCCTGTTGAAGACTCTTGGGAGATAGTGAAGGGCTGGCGTGGGCCTGGGAGCCGAATTGGCTGCACCACAAAGGGGCTGTGTTATTCATGGCTTCCTCCTCTGTTCTATGGGGAAACGATAGCATCTACCTCACAAGGTTATTGTGGGGATTAAACGAAAAAATCCCAACAGAGTGCTTGGTGTTGTGTCTGGCTCGATAAATGTATTGTTTTCAGTATCACCCCACTCTTCCTTCTTGCTTTTACCTAACTCTCCGGCTTACGCTGTCAACCCAGACTCCCTGGTTTTCTTCCCTCTGTGATGTGACAGCTTCCTTTTGCTATACAGACCCCAGCACTGCTGAAGGCAGCAGACATTGGTGGCTGTTGAGTTATCGATGTGGGCAGCAGCATGCTGGCTTATCGGAGGTACTGGAGGAAATGAATGAGGGCAGAGGACAAGCGGGTGAGCGCCCAGCCAGCCACCACTTTGTTCTGCAAGATGACTGGCAGAGGCAGGCTGCAGTACCTCCTCTCTTTCCCCAGTTAAACCAATGCTTTAGTTCATTTATGAAAAAATGCTGAAGGAAGTGGAAGAGACAATCCTGAAAAGCAAAGCAATAAAAATTACAGGTTTCCAGAAAGCCTCTTTCATTGTAAAATGTCACAACCCTTAATAAGTGCCTAGCAAGATAAATCATTAAAAACTTGAGAAAGTGTGCATCTTGCTGCCCATAATTGTTGCCCATAGTTGAAGGCATCACATTGGATTCCATTTGACTTGCATAATGGTTACGTGTGGGGGTGGCAGCCATCAGCTGCTTCCTACTCATTGTGCAAGCTGGACAGGAAAAAAGCGGGCGGAAGTCGATAGCATCTGATGATAAGGGGTATGCGGCTGGACAGCAGCGTGCCGTGGAGGAGGAGGAATTGATCACTGCACACTTGAGAAGACCCAGTACAGACAAGTGCTGGCATTCAGGATTAGCAGTCACCAGATGCAGAGGAAGGGTGTGAGAGCCAGTAGAAGGCATACAATCCTTAGTAAATGATTCTTTCATTAGACGGCATCTTGATAACAAGGTGTTTGGACTGAAGCTGTTTTATATTGAAAGATTTAGTGCTATTTTCATGGATCACAAGTCACAGAATCATGAACTAGTTTGTAAGCACTTGAGTTTTTCTTCCATTTGGTTTACTGGATTTCTGTTTTGATAATCAGTGTTATCAATACAGGTGGAAGAAAAACCTGTTTGTTATTCAAGTCCCTCTGGAAGTATAAGATATATCAATACTGCCATTTGAGGAAAACTGTGTTCCAGTTATAAGATGATTACATGACAGCTCTTAACTTTCAAAATACCAAGTGTTTTGGCATGGATCTTTTTTACAGGTTGAAGAATTATTTTTAAAGATAGGACACATTTCTTTTTTTTTTTTTGACCGGTAAGGGGATCGCGATCCTCGGCACGGTGTTGTCAGCACCACGCTCGGCCAGTGAGCTCACCGGCCATCCCTATATAGGATCTGAACCTGCGGCCCCGGCGCTACCAGCACCGCACTCTCCCAAGTGAGCCACGGGGCCAGCCCAATAGGGCACATTTCTTAATGTTACTCTTGAAGTTTCTAATTGTTGTCTGGACAGGACAGTAGGTTGGAGAAATGAAGCTTTCTTTTACTGGATGGCTCTCATAATTGTGCCATAAAGTCCCTCCAGCAACAACTCTGTTTCTGGATGCCATGGGTTGGAAAGGGATGGCTAGAGGCTGATGAGACCAAATATGCTCTGCATATTATAATCTATTTGTAGAAATTTGTCCCTTTGCAGGGCATTTACATAATGGATACAAAACCACTGTTTTTTCTACTTACATTAAAGAGAATAAAGCCTTCCTATTGTGAAGGCCTGGTAACTTTCAAAGTGTTGAAGATTGAAGCTCTTTCCTTTTAATGCTTTTATTGTTTCATTATCCCAGCTTCGTATCCTTCGTATTCCCACCTTTTATCCTTCATCTGGTCCAACATGTTTCTACCTATTTGGATATCCTGACTCTGCTCTGCATCTGATGTGAATGAGGATTTGGCGGGGGCTGGGGCTCAACTCTTGGTAACTGGGCTTTGCTCTGAATTCCAGTGTCAGTCTCCTCCTTTGGGTTTTCTCTTCAGTTGAGAGAAGAACACACTTTTCTCCCACAGCAGTGCCTGGAGTGCTGCTTTATTTATTTAAAAGATGACCGGTAAGGGGATCTCAACCCTTGACTTGGTGTTGTCAGCACCACGCTCTCCCAAGTGAGCTGCGGGCCGGCCCTTGGAGTGCTGCTTTAAATTACCTGCCTGCTCCACAGGCCACTCCGTGCTTGCTCCTTGCACACTTGATTTACCCACCTGATGCTATTCGTGCCTTTCTTTTCATGGCACTTTTGAAATATTATATTGCCGGCTGGCTTATTTAGTCATGTAGAACTTTTTAAAAAGTACAACTATTGCACAATAAATCATTCAAGAGAGGTTCAGAAGCCTCTAAATAATAACATATAGCTTTCAAACTAGTAATCCTTAAAAACAGTAGGTTAAAACTGTCTTATCTTTATAAAATAAGGAGTTAATATTTTTGCATTTTGCTCTCTTTTAGGCTATTCTCATGGATCACAACTGCCCCATTAAAACAAAAATGTACACTCAGAATAATACCCAGTCATACCCGGTAGGTGATGATGAAGAATCTGAAAGTGACTGAGACTCTCAAAAGTCATCAAGTATTTAATTGTTTAAGTGTTTCCAGTGAAATGACTCATCTAGAACTGTCTTAGTCATACCATCCATCCCTGGTGAAAGAGTAAAACAACCAAAGTTTATTATTTCTTTTCCATGGTTATGATTGATTGCCAACAGCCTTATAAAGAAAAAGAAGCTTTTCTAGGGGTTTGTGTAAATAGTGTTGAAAACTTTATTTTATGTATTTGATTTTACTAAATATTATACAATATATTTTGACGAAATAGGTATAGTGTAAATCTATAAATATTTGAATCCAAATCAAATATAATTTTTTAACTTACATTCACAAACACTTGGGCAAAAAAATCTTATATTTTTTCTGAATATTGGTAATGAGTGTTTAAAACTAAAGCACACATTATCTCTGAGACTCTTCCAACAATGAGAAACTAGAAGTCTGAAAAACATAATCAAGTAAGACAGCATGTGATATAGTGACACAGAATGAGTGCTATTTAACTTGTAATTACTATCAATACATTTATGAGTTAAAAGTTGGTCATCTCAAGTGCAGAGGACAAGAACTTGAGTCAGTCATCTTTTGGATTTATCCATAAATCTTAGCAGGCATTAGTTTTTCTATGTAGTCACCTACCTGGAAAGAGATGGTTGTAAATTACATGTTTACATGTCATGTGGTTGGCAGCAAACATTAAAGCCAACGAGGGAAAAATACTAAATGTTCTGAAAGCAGAGAAAAGCACCCAAATGTATGTAGTTATGAACTAGAAGCTTTTCATTTAAGATTTATACTTCATTGTCTTATTAAATGAAAGAAAATTGAGGGTATATGTACCCTACAGTGTCAAGGTTATTTAAGCATGGTAAGATTTATCAACATCTAATTCAAGTTTTAGAAAAATAAATTTAAGACGCTAAGAGCTGCTATAACTTCAAAAATCTGACTATATTATCTTTGACCTGTTTGCAGGTCATCCAAGTGTTTTCCAGGAATCTATTAACTTTGAGTTCTCTGAAACTTATTTTCTAGACTTCTGAAAGTTGCTCATTCACATCAACGTGAAAAGATTTTAATGATGATGAAGGAATTGTTTAAGTCTTGAATCATGTTATGAAAACAGGTAAAAATAATAGGGTGGTCAGGACATATCCCTTTTCACAGGCAGAAAAGAAAAATCCAACATCTAAAAATGTCTATGTGTTACCATATCATCTAGTGCGTTGTGTAGTGTAGTTTTTCTAAGCATGACAACATTGATGTGCTTTTTTAGTGAAATAGTAATTACTGTTAGTGAACATTGTCAGTTTGTATTGTTTTATATGAGATATGACTGGTGTGTGAAGATAGTATGGAATATCTCAAATAGTACTTGTTAATTCTGAAGTCCTGTCATGAGCAAAAACTACCTAATGTCAGTTTTGTTAAGCTAAAATTGTGTTTGTGTTAACTTGGCATCAGGAGCAAAGAACTATAGAACAAAGACTCCTCAACCTTATAACTATTTCTTATTTTCTAGGAAAGTGGTTAATATTTCTTTTGCTTTATGAAGCTTTTCTGTGGGGCTTGCAATGATTTGAAGTCTGGTTTCCATGTGCAGTGTGTTTGAAGCAAACATCCTACTCATTTATTTGCATTGGGCAACTTACACAAGTCTGCTACTTTGGAAGATGGCTCTGGAGGAGCTCTTATAATGCTAAAATAAAAATGCAGGATTGCTTCTACTTCTACAGGAGGAGAGCCTTTAAAAAGAATGTGCTACAAATTGGTTTTCTTAAGAGAGTTTGTGGTTCTTCCTGCCCCCAATACCATATAATTTATTCCTATTTCATTTTTGCCTTTAAGGCTTCAGCTTCTGTAACAATGACTGGCAAAGGCACGCCTGCTGTTGATCCCTAGGGATAAGATGAAAAATATGAATTTTTCAGAACTGTTGTGGGAGCAAAAAATATGTTGTATCTGAGGAAAAAAATTATAAGTTCTTTTGTATGACTAATATTTTGGGTTAGCAAGACTGTGAAAAGGCTTTTTTCTTTTTTAATGCATGTATCAGAACAAAGAACATACAGCTCTCTGAACATTTATTTTTCGAACAGAGGTGGTTTTTATGTTTTTACGCGGTAATACAGATACAAAAATATTGAGGTAGCAAAGAATATTCCACTCTTTTGACTGCTAAGTGTATGTCCAAGTCACATTTTAGCTAGTTTACTTAATAAATCTTCTGAACACCTTACTGTGCCCATTTGTATTCCTTTACAAACCAAATATTATTGTTGGAATAAAATATATAACATATCGTCTTGACTGGATAATTAATTAAAACTTATTCTTCTATGCTTGTAGGCATCAGGTAAAGCCATTCCAGGTTAGTCTGAAACATAGTTTTTGGTTTTCCAACGTTTGTTTTAAATTGATATATATAACTAAACACATTATGTCAATGTGGAAAAAAAACCAGTCAGTAAGTTAACCATGCATGTCTAAACTTTTATTGTCCTGATTGCTGTGAACAGATAACTGTAACTGGTGAAATAATTATAATCTCTAGCCATTTGACATAGGTGCTTAACCTGGGGCCCACAGGCCCCTTAAAGTTCTGTAAAACCCTTGAAATTAGAGAATTTTCAGTGGTGTGCACATATGTGTTTTCCAGAGGTGAGAGAGTCCACAGCTTTAATCAGCTCTCAAAAGGGATTGATTCACTACTCAAAATGGCTTAGGGGAAACTCCCACTATTTTTTTGGTCAGGAAAGCTATTATCTCAATTTAGAAATTAAGGCAATATATTTTTAAATTAAAGTGGTTTTAAATCTGCTCACTTTGAGAATTAAAAATATTTTACTGTTAGTAAGAGCCAAATATTTTCAAATTGCCTTTCTAAAAATTCAGACATAGTTAAATTTAAAACTTGACAGTACCCCCCACAATTTTTAGGTTGTGTTTTCTTCTCTCAGAATCACAGAATATTCTCATAATATTTCAACTAGTTCTGATATTGAAGAATATAAGGCTTGATATTAAGAAAGGTAGCATATTAATTATGATTGCAAAATTTATGCTAAAATGTTGCTCAGTTTGTCTAATCCAATCATTCATCTAAATACCAATGTAGAAAATACACTTTCAGGCCGGCCCGGTGGCGCACTCAGTAGAGTGTGGCACTTGGGAGTGCGGCGGCGCTCCCGCTGAGGGTTCGGATCCCATATAGAGACCGGTCCGCTCACTGGTTGAGCGCGGTACGGGCGCGACACCGAGGGTTGCGATCCCGTTGCCGGTCGCAGTACGGGCACGACACTGAGGGTTGCGATCCTGTTACCAGTCACAAAAAAAGACAAAAAAAAGGGGGAAAAAAAAAAAAGAAAATACACTTTAAGTAGTCTAATTACTAATATACAGCAGAAGCAAACCCATAAATCTGATTTACAAGCTAAGGAAGCACCAATAAAAAAAATTTAATGCTTTTAGGCAGAGTGCAAAATAGCAATGTTGTTTAGCAAAAGTGGACTTGGGTCAACTTGTCTGCATGGCCAAATTATACCAGGTGCTAATTCCATAGGAATGCAGTAATCACCTTTTTAAAGATGTCATCAAATGGAGATATTCTTGTTTTCTGTGGTAGTCTTTATTATTTTTCAAAGCTATTGATAACATAGCATGGCAGCAAGATTACATCAGTAATGTAATACAACTTTTTTCATTGACGCTTTATACCTTACTATATTCTAGGCTATTTGGAGTGTTCCCCCTTGCACTAAAGTACAACTGTGATGCCTCTACTCCCTCTCGCAGTGGATATAAAAATATTGCACTACATTAAAGGTTTATTTTACAAATGTCATTAGCAGCATTACTGAGCTTTCCATAATTGTGGTTCTACAGAGGTAAATACTTTAAAAACATGAGTAGATTCTTATGAAGCCAAAGTTTTGCATTATTTCTACATCTCTTTCAAATGTATCAGTCTTAGCAGCATGCTTGGGTATCACTAAAACTTCCATGGTTTAATCTATAAACACCAGTCACTTACAGATACTCTACTTTCCCGGTTATCAATGGTAAGTTATTTTTTACAAGATGAAACATGATTATACATTGGGCAGATTGTTTCAAGCATGTATTATGAAACAACATTTTAGATTTTAGGGAATTTGGTGGGTCAAGTCTTCTATAGCATTGTTCTTTTAAAATTTGAGCACGCTTAAATAAACAAAAATGGGGAGTACACACAAATATATTTGTTATAAAATTAGCCAAGAAAGGTTTTTAGTGTCCTAATATTTCCCTTAGTAAAATACCAACAGGAGTGAGAGCTGGCTACTGACTTTAAAAGTGTAATAACTTTTCTACCCTCAAAAATGTTTTTCTCACTCATATAAATACTTTTTATTTGTATAGCTTTTTACAGTTCACAGCACTTTTGCATTTAGGCTATTTTTTTCCTCACAATAATCCTATGACGCAGTTAGAATTAGTAGTAGTATTCCCATTGTAGAGATGGTGAAACTGTGGCACGGAGCCCTTTTGTGACTTGCCTATGATTGCGCAGTTCATTAATGGAAGAGCTTGAAATTAAACTCTTACATGGAGTCCTGGACTATAGACCTGGGCCACAATCCTTAATATTACACTATGCCTTTTTGTGCCAGCCATAAAAGCTGTTTCATTTAGTTTTAAATTCATGTCATTTTCACTGTATATCAATTATCATAGCAATTACCTACAAAAGGGAAAAACATATGCTTATCTATTTTATAGGTATATAACAGGCCAAAACTTTTAAGGTATACTAACAGAGGTCAAGCTTACACGTTTTCCCTTAGTCATGTGTTGCTGGGATCCATGAGATGAACACAGTATCAGAGCAGATCTTCATTTTCAGAGAACTGGTCCCAATTCTTACGTAATCTATACTATTTTTATTTGTCTTTCTTTTCTTAACAAATGAAGACAGTCTGAGCTACAGAAGTGTTCAGAACGATCACATTCCTTTAAGACTGTAAGATGCCAGATGAAGCAATAATATATTTTGCATGATTCCTTGCAATCACAACATACTCCGACATGAAAATATTCTAAAACAAAACCAGCAAAAATGAGTTATCAACACAGTCATTTTTAAGAACAGTCCTCTGAAACTTTAAATATCCTTGCACATGCTTTATTTCCTGTGCGAGAACTGAAGATGAAAAATAATCATGAATGTGTAGAACTTCCTTGTTAAAGGAGAGCATCAACATTTTGAAAGATTATATTTCAAAATCCAACTGGTTACTGTTTTTCAGTAATTTAATCTTGTTATCCTCTCTACAACATACTTGACCAACTGCATTCTATATTTATTCCCTATTACATTTTGGTTTTCAATGCAAGCTCTTCAAATTAATCACTGTATTTTTAATATACTTCAACTGCACAAAAGCTTTAGAAAAAAATTTCACAGAAGCATAGAAAGCAAGCAATATATATAAATTTTTTTTTACTAAATCAGCATAACAGACTAAAGCTGCAGCGTCTGCTTTCATGTTACATTTGGCAAAAACAAAAGCACCCCCAAAACCTCCAAATAACAAAAATCTTAAACAAGCAGAGATGACAAACTTCATAACACAAAAGAAAGATTCAAAAGCTGTTCCCTCAATGATTGCTGTTGTCAATTTGGGCATGCAGCAAATTAGTTGTTACAACCGTGATGGAAAAGAAAATATTTCAAGAATCTGGATAGGATCCTATTTAACACTAATTCAAAAACTAAGAGGAAAGAAAATAATACAATGATACATCACACATACATAAACATGAAAAGTTAGCTTACATAATTACATAATTAGAAAAAGTTAAAAATAAATTAGTAAAAATAAATTCCCAGTATAAACCCCAAAAAGCATAGCTATAAATGCAATCCGAAACAACTAATTTAGTGAGCTGGTCATGTTTTTGCTGGAAAACCACCTTGTTCTTGCACAAGCAAATAACTGTGGAGGAGTAGGCCAAAGTGCATTATGAGAGGATTTAAATGTGGTTGTATCTGTGGTACTTTAGATGCAACTTTTCCCCAATCATTTCAAAGTTTAAATAGAATGTCTGTTACACAGATTCGGACGGGCCAAATAAGTCCTCTGATATGCTGCTGAATGGCTGAGAGTCTATTAGTTGGCTTATTTCACTATCGAGGTCTTCTTCTGTGTCATCTGGATACTTGCTGATTTTTTTGGAGTGCTGGTCTAAAGACAGACTTTCTAAAGTTTCGATATCTTCAATGCCTGCTCTGTAGTGGATCATAAGAAGTGTTAGAGCTTGTAGTCTTTCACCTGATTTAGCCAAAGCAGCAGAAAGAAGTGATTTTTTCCTTGCATCGGTTGTTTCTTTTTCTTCTCTAACAATGGAATTATTGTGTTCCAACTCCTGATCAATTTCGTTCTGCAGTTTATCCAACATGAACTCTAGTTTCTGGATCCTTTCTTCCGTAGGCAAGCCCCTGTACAGATCACGACCAATTTCCTTAACTGCAATGAAAACACTGTCATCCAGACCACCCTCCTTTCTCACTAACTTTATTCCTGTGCTGCTTCCCCGCTTAGAAGGGCTGTTTGGACCGCATACTTCTGTGTCACTGCCTTCGTTGTCTGATGTGTTGGGTGTGTGTTTTGGTGAAGGTTCTACGAGATCGGTTCCTGGTTCAGAAAGGCGAGTTTTGGAAACTTGACGCAAATTTAACAAACGAGAACTAGTATTGATAATATGCCTTGTCAAACCTGTTGTTTTATTGACCGACTTGCTAGTTTCAGCATCAACACGAGGAGGTAGGCCTAAGAGGGTTTCCTGTCCTTCCAGCCTGAGGTTTTTCAGGGTCCGGTCTATTCGCCTATCAGTTGCTCCACAAAGAGGAGTCTCAGCTAGACACTTTTCTTGACATTTTTTATGGCAAACATAAGCACAGAACATACACTGGGAAGCAGCCTTAGTCCAAACTTTTTTCTTACAGTAATCACACCAAGTTGGGTTCTGAAACTGAGTATCCTGGAAACTATGTTTATTTTCTGTTAAACCTATCTGTCCAACAAAGTGTTCTTCTTTAGGGAGAGCAGAAACTTCTTCGACCAAATGGACTTCTTTTTCTTTCTCTGCATTAGTAACTGTGTGGTGGTCTGGTTCCCCTTCTTTCACATATTTGAAATGAACAGTAATATCACCAAAACAAAATTTGTCATTGAATCCCTTTTGCATACTCAGATTGCGCAGTGCGGTTCTAGTGACCATAGCCTTTGGTGTGGGGGCTTCTAGTCTTAATTTTGAAAG